CACACTATCCTCACAAAAAAAAAAAAAAAAAAATTACTCGGTGAAGGTGAATTTTTTTTTATTTCACTTAAGATTGCTTACTTTTTTTCTTTTCTTTTAGTTAAGTCTTTCATTTTCATTTTATCATTTCTAATAATTACAATAAGAGTCTTTATTTTTACAATCTTTCTTTATTTTTTTAGGTAAATTGTGTTTTTGTAGGTTTATGGACTGACCATTTTGACGCCTATTGACCTGTTGTTCTCGTATAATTTTGTATTTATGTGCATTTATTATTCACTAGAAACACAAAAAGGACATAAGTCAAGGTATTTATTTTTTAAAGTTTATTAGGACAGTTTAATGTAACTTTTTCTTTCATGTCATGTACTTAAATATTTAATGACAAAATAAGTTGGCAAGAGATTTTTTTTTCTCTCTCAGAAATACTGGTATCACAGAAAGCCAAATCTTGCACTTTCACTTGGAATCTGATGTTTAATAAAATTTAAATCCTTTAAGTAAATAAATACATGCTGGCACCAAAGATTACAAAATAAAAGTATAAAAATGAAAACCAGGTCGTATTTTAGCGTTAAAAAAAAAAAAAGTCAATCCAGAATTTTTTATTTTTTTTTTTATTCTTCATACTTAATCAAGTTCTTTTAGTCATTTCCACGAGTTCAATCCCAGATCACAATAGTCAAGGAATTATTATCTAAACAATAAAATAAGTCAAACAATTAAATAACTAAATGAAAATCATCAACGTGTGTGTACATTATATAATTTTTATTACGCATGCACGTAGTAAGAACTTAAAAAGAGGTGCTGAAAAGTTCTCGATTCGGACCACTTCAAAACTGACCAAACGTCAGAAAGTTTTAAGGCGTCTTGGTCTGGCCGAGAATTTTTCAACACCCCTAACAAGCATCGAAACGCATTACACGATGAAACAAATAACAATTCAAAATACTATACACACACTATTTAGGGAAGGTGGGAGAATAGTGTACATACGAACATAAAACGCTTTACAATTCTAAATCATTTTTTTTTTTTGTATTATTTTGACAATATTATCAATATCTTGACATCTGCATGTTTCTCATTATGTTTCAGTTTCATGAAAAAAACACTAGCCTCCTTAATTGTCGACGTTTGTGCATAAACCTGAATTGTCGTTATTTTTATTTATTTCCCTTGTTTCGATTTTTTTTTACAAATTGCCAGTCAAGAAAAGAAAAACTTCCTCCTGCCTGAACGCCAATAGCAATTGAAGATGTAGTAGAAAGTGAATTGTAACGCACACGCTTCTTTTCTGATGCTCCAACTTCAAACGCAATAAAATAACAACGTTCTCAGAGATAGTCTTTAAAAAACGAAGCCCAAAGCTAAATAAAAGGCAAGTTGGGTATTTTAATTTATTCAATTGATAGCGTCTTTTTTAAATTTCAAATAGTGTTTATTTTTTTATGTGATTATGAAGCTGTTGTCTTTTGTTTTAAAATTATGAAATAAAGGGACTTTTAAAAACTTGTAAAAACTTCATGTAATTATTTTGTTTATTTCACTTTTTCTTCGATGTCTTTTAACACTTTTTTTTTCTTTTTAAGTAATGATAAAAATTACTGAAGAAAATTGAAGTACAAATCCAGGTCTTCGCTGTTCCAGCAGGCACGTGTCCATGTCAGACACTTCCTTCTTGTATATGTATCCACACAAATTGGCATACGTGTGCATACAGGAGTAAGATTCAACTTTTTGAGTTTCCACACAAATTTCAGTGAAGCAAGTATTTTTTTTTTATCCGTGTGCATACGCTTATCGATACCAACTTTACTTAACGATGTATTTGACACCTGCCATAAAATGAAGTTTATTCATTTGTTATAGTTTCTTGAATGACAAAGAGAAGCAAAACAACAATAACAAAAAAACAACAAAAAAAAAAAAACGCAATATTCTTCCGTTGAACGCGAGACTGGGAGAGAAACGCATAAGAAAAACAAAAAAAAAAAAAAAAAAAAACAATTGTGCAAAAAGACCAAAGAAAGCATAAAATTGGTGTTAAATTACCCAATGTGTTGCAAGTCAAACTCAAGGCAAAGAAAATAAAAACTTATTACATAACTGTGTCCATTATTACGGCAAACCAAAAAAAAAAAAAAAAAAAAAAGGACACGCACACACGCACACACAGAGAAAAAAGCGCTAATTCATAGTTGCAATAGTCATGTGCGTGCGTATACCTGTCTTTGCACGCCATCAGTAATTTGGACACAATCGTTATTCCGGAATTGGCTTTCATTGTATTCAGTCGTCAAAACAGTGACAAGTTTGTCACATGAGGAACGAGTTGTTTCAGTCACATTGTTACTTTTTGTACATCGGATTTTTCTCACAAGTATCTAACTCAATCCCAGACGTCCAAGTACCAACTTTTGAAAGGCCGTTTTTTTTTTTTTTTTTTTTAAACCTTGCTGACTGAGATCAGATTTGGTAAGTCACTATTAATAAAATTTATAAGACTATTAACCTACAGGGTGAAATTCCAAGTTACTTTTATGACTCATTTCTTTCCTCACCCCTACATAAAATCTTAGTTAATTTATAGGCCATCACCAAGCATGTCTTTCACAATGACGTTTTGGAGAAAAAAGAAAAATCAGATTGCTAATTTCGACGTTCTTACAAACCATGGTATAAAATTGAAAGATGAAGAAAAAATCGGCAAGTATCTAGATTTTATCAGAAATCTGAAGAAGCTGTGAAACATAAAAGTACCAATCTTACTGGGAAGAATTCCAAAAGGGCTGCAGGAACTTGAATGCTAGTTGAAAATAGAGATGATGTAGACAACAGCAGCGATTGAGAACAAAATCAGAGTATTGGAGAATAGAACCGGCATGCTGTCACTTTATCTCCAATATAAGCTGCCAGCTACGGGTATGAAAACTCAACAACATGTCATTTCTGATGAGATTAGGAAATTTGAAAAGAGAAAGTGAAACCCAATTAATGGCGGCTCTGTCCTGAGCATTCCAATAAGAAGCAAATTAGACTACGGCGCAGATAGACAGATAAATGCCATCCATGCAGAAATGGAGGCAGGACTGCCATGAAGTGAATTTACTAAGAAGCAATATATATATATATATATATATATATATATATGTGTGTGTGTGTGTGTGCGTGACTGGGTAGGAACTGTTATCTACCGAGAATTGTGCAAATGATGGAAATCAGATCAAGCAAATTAATTATAGTTGCACAAACTAGAATTTGTTCAAGAGAAATAAATAAAGTCTCTGGGACAGATATGCAACTGCTTTCTTCCAGAAGATCAGACAATGTCATCGTAAAGCATTTTCTTTTCAGTTGATGTTCAAGTAGGTTACAGAGCAAGACCAAAAGTGAACGCACAAGAACTGAAGAAAGTGTAGAGCATGAAAGTGACGGCAGTGCCCAGCATGAATGGAATACTTGGAACAGCCCTTTCGAAGGGTTTGTAAGAATTGGAAATCGCAGAAAGAATCAAAACTATTTAAACAACCGCATTAGAAATCTCATTTGGAACACTGAAAAAACTTGTTGCCACTTGATCTCTAATGAAAGTTACAAGTTACATTACTATTGGAAATAAAATATTTGATGGGTTGTAATATAGTCATTAACACACAGACATACAGTAATAACAAATATACATTGTTTCTCATCGTTTTTACAACTTTTACATCGAGCACTATTTTATTATCACCAGTACTCATTGTGCAATATATATATATATATGTTACACACACACTTTTAAACAACACTTTACTTTCATTTTTAAATGTTCCCCAGTTTCACAGCACTGGGTATATAATATTAAAAGGACAAACCTAAATAAAAACAGGTGATATATATATATATATATATATATATATATATATATATATATATATATATATATATATGTGTGTGTGTGTGTGTGTGTGTATTATAATATACACGTAAAATATCCAGAAATATGAGATATATCTTAAAAAAAAAAAAATTTGAGACATAGTTGGTACTTTTCAATGATAAAGAAACGTTTTTTTTTTTAATATCAAACTGCTTTTGCACGTCATTCAGCTAAAAACTGGCAATTGAGAAGAATTTTTTTTTATTAAAAAATATAAAATGTTCAGCCAAGTTCTATCATATTGGCAGCAAGAAAATATAAAAAGTGTAATTTGAAATTATGACAACCCCAAAGAGGACCAGTCAGTTATGTGCCATGCGTGACACACGCTTAGGCGCTCATGTATCTTTCGATGAATGACTGACGAGGCAGATGTTTTTTTTCCCCGCAGTAGATTGCCATTTCTTTCTGAGGTAGACCAGTTGCCATCCAAGGCCTGTCCTGAACCCATCAAAGAGGACCAGTGTTCTTAAAATAAAACTATCGGTTACTTTCTATTAGAGAACTTTTAGCAATAAATACAAGTATATGTTCACATTTTTAAATCTACTCAGAGTTTCACGGAGATTGCATCTACGATTAATGATCAATCGAGAACAATTATCACCAAAGTTGCTTGCACTTAAAAAACAAAGTAAAAAAAAACTAGTCATATTTCAGAAGTACCTTGGTCGACCTTTTTTTAGCTGTTGTTTTTACAAAAAAAAAAAAAAAAACCCGCAGCTATCGTTATTATTGTGAAGAACTTTTAATTCTTTTGCCTCTTAAACCATATCCTCTGTAAGTTTCTATCATCATTTAAGTCATCGTATAGCGATTGGTTGCTTTTTTTTATGCTTTATTGTATGCTATTTAGAGTGTGGAAAGTTAATTTAGATATCAAACGAGAAAAAAAAATTGTTCTAAATAACTTAGGAGTTGAAAGAATGTCCCGTTTTGAAGAGAACTGTGCAGTGGCAACGCCCTACTCCCCAAGAAAAAAAAAGTCTTGTGTAGTTCATGTAATCAAGATTTAATTCATGCCAGATAAACTGGCGACCTGATGACGTTTTGCAAGAAATCAATGATAAACATAAAGCGACGGCGGCGGCAGGCACTGCACACACGCACTGGTGGGAGGGGGGGGGAGACAGTACGGTATTCGTAAAATCAAATAGACATCTATATGGTGCATGCGTACAGCAGCAGTTGGTGAGGAGCGACGATGGGGTTGGTGAATGTACAGCGGCAAGAAAAGTGCGCACAGAGTACTTTATAATAACAGGGAAGATGTTGAATGCAGAAAAGAAGGAAAAGTTAAGAGAGAGAAAAGAAAAAAGAAAAGTAATAAGAGTGACCAATTCTGTAGATTTGCACGATGAATCCATTGAGATGAAAGGTGTGTCATTCATTACTTTTGTTATTTCTATCCCCCACCCCAACACTCCTTCGTGCCATTTCGGTCTAGTTACTTACACACGCACACAAAAGTAAAAACAAGTGAAAAGAGGATGATGGCTTTATTGATTCTTAATCAAGCTGCCGGCTAACTGCATCTTGTATTTAGTAATGAATAGAATAGTGTGTGAGAGAGAGAGAGAGTAAGATGGAATTTCAATTAAATGAGCAAGAGGTCTATGATAGAACGAGAGAAAGAATTAGTCTTGAGAAAGAAAAGTAAGAAAAATAAAAACGGGAAAAAAACTACACTAAGGACAGAAAATTTTCCAGAAAGAAAAACAAAACATTCACGTTAGCAAATAAATAAGTAAAAACTGGAAAAACAAAAATAAATTCCTATCATGAATAATAATCAGTCCCGTTTTGTCTTGGTCTTTCTCTTGTTATTTTTAAAGAAACTGGACGAGATCAGAATAATGAAAAGTTAAAAAAGAAAAAAGGAAAAAAAAAATAGACAAAGAAGTCGCCTAATAGAAGGAAAAATAAACGGTACAAGTGATTAGGATCTTAGGAAGAAAGGAAAGAGATGGATGCTTGTTATAACACTAACAGAATTGAAATAAGGTAAGACCACAAAGAACACGACAAGAGATAAACGTCAATATAGTTATTATGCGAAAAAAAAAAAAAAGAAAGAAAAGAAAAAAGAAAACAAACTATATTTTGATTTAAAATTTCATACGACGCAAACGAACAATTTTCAACTTTTCATTCCTTGCCCCAAACTTCAGATATGCCAACTAAGAAGGAAATGGATACAAGTTCCTGGAATTATTTTTATGTTGGGGTTCGTTAGTCGACACAGGGTAGATTAAGATTAAGAAGAATTTGATCTTTGTACACATTCAACGGTTTCATGATCCAAACATTACTTTAAACGCACGATGCAATATGTTTTGTTTGACTTTTTTTGAGCAAGTCGTTTTTTTTTTTTTTTTTTAATTAAGAGAGGTCAAAATCAACAGAATATTGTTTGTTCTTTGTACACATTTCCGACATTTACATTCTACAAAGAATAAAGCTTTCATCTCAAGCGTCAATGAGTATAAAAATACTGATTATTTTTCTTTTGAAAGTTTTTGTATGTTCAAGTTCTCATATTTGATTAATTCCGGAAATGAAAATGAGACCCAAACCCATGCGTTGTATTGTTAAATACGGATTTAAAAAAAAAAAAAAAATACTAAATGATGTGTGGAGATGTTTGTGTGGTCAATTATAAAGGCTTGCTAAGTAGCCTATTTTTTTTTTATTACCATTTAAAAAGAATTCAAAGTTGTCAATCAAACTACAGATGGGGGGGGGTATTGTAGGAGTACACTGACCAATGACCACATTATTACGATGAAAAACATTCAGGAAAAAGTACTAGCAAAAACCGGTTCCACATCTTCAATGACACAATGTTTTTTTTTTTAAATTATATTTCAACTAATTATCTTCTACCGTTATCCTATTATGAAAACTTTAAAACAAACTTTTCTTCACGTTAAGTTCCTGAGAGTGAGAAACAAAGAGAAATCCGAACATAATTTTACTTCAAATGCAGGTTGGCTTGTTTTGTTTGTTTTTTTTTATACGTGTGTCATCCCTATTTTACAATGCGGGGACTAATTGGTGAGAGAAAAGCAAACGTCCCTTCACTAACCTTTTTTTTTTATGTTAGTTAATAAAATAACGAACTCGGAAGTTAGGCTTGAAACCTCTTGGTTATATCTCCGGGCTGCTATTCATTCAAGCATCACAGAAAACAAGATATTCTATCCAGACTTACCATGTGTCGTAACACATGTCTCGCTCTTCTTGTCATATGATATTCAACCATTTTCTTTTAAATTAGTTAACATAAGCTCGGCTTTTACAAGTAGACGAATGAATTGAATATAATCATCACGGAATATGAAGAATAAATCTTTTCTTTTTTCTCAGCTGCTGAGTACGAATATTCACTAAAAACCATGTTTTTTTTTGTTTTGTTTTTGTTAAATAGTCACACCTAAAGTTTAATATAAAAAAAAATTACAACCTCAAGACAAGCTCATAAAAATATCGTTGTTATTATCAAAATACTATTCAATGTCAAAAGTAAAAAAAAAAAAAAAAAAAGAAAAGAAAAATCATCTGTTCAAATATGGAACAAAGTCAGGATGATAATAAAAAACAAATAATTTGAAGTAATAAGCGTAAAAAAGAAAACATTCTTGTCAAGATAATGATCATCACTTTATATAGATATATATATATATATGTATTATGGAGAGAGTGAGAGAAGAAAGTGCGGACATAGGCATCAACACTGCATAGTGCCTGTTAGTTTCACGCCTCAAGCGATCTTCAGAACATGAGGATCATTTGGGACATGAGTCTAATGATCAGAACGCAGTGTTGGTGTCCACGCTATTTCAGACAAGGAACACTCTTCCTTTAAAATTAGGCCAAATGTATACTATATAAGACACTTTTTTTTCACACAGTGCACAGATACTACACCTTGATCTTAGAAGTGCTGAAGAGTGACAACTGGCGTTAGCCAGAGCGAATATATACTAAAAACACTGATTCGAAACAGAAGATCGGGAACGATACTTTGATCCTAAACAGAAGTATCGTTTCACACGTAAAATATTCCAATTTATTTTTAACGGGTAATATGCTTAGCCTGATATTAAAAAGACACTATTTTTCCAGAAAAGAAAAACCCAGGATGTTTTTCAAATCAATTTGGAAACATGCGCTCAACAACAAATACTTATCAAATCGAAAAAAACAATCGACATAAAAAAGAAGAAATCGATAGAAAAAAAAATTAAAATGTTTTCAAAACCGTTTCTCTTTGATGTCAATAGCGATTACATAAAGCACATGCCAAGTAATGGTAGCTGGAAAGTGTATCCATGTCTATATTTTATTATTATTACCAACCAAACAGTGCGCACCTGTGCTTCTCCCACTGTAGGTAGGAAAGAAGAACAACCCACAATGGTCTTTCTTTTATTTCACTCAGTAGCAGCAGTGGCTGTAAGAAGGGACAGGCAAGAATCAATTGCATTTTTACATATATTTTCATTAAGAAGCATTCTTTAAAATAGACAAAATATTTTTTTGAGATTAGTTAAAGAAAAATTATCATTCTACATTCATTTTCGATACTGAACAAATTTATTATTTCTTTAATCAGCATCAAACGATAGCACGTAAGTCATCCTCATCAAAAAATGTTATTGAACGATATGCACTAGCTTTAAATTAAAAAAAAATCAATTTTCTATTTATTAATTCAAGAAGAAAAATTACTGTTATTACTCTTCTTGTATTTTAACTGAAATGTTTACATATTTCGACCAATAATTTCAATCGTCATCAGACAATCTAGTTTAAAAGTTAATAAAATAACAAATTATAAAATAGTTGTCACAACTGAGAAGGTTTGAAAATGTCCCGATTGAGATAATGTGGAATAATCTTTCATATTTGAAAATTATGGCATTTCTTATTTTCTTCTTTTAACAAAACAACTCATCATAATGATTTATTAATTATTAGCATCTCTTTCGTCCACAGGTACTGGACTCGTTATTTCGAAAACGAGCAACCCTTTTTTGTGGGTTTATGACGCCGAACGCATTGTATCAGGAAGAACCGGTTCAATTACAACTGAAATTGATTCATTTTTAGCCCCAAACAATTTTACATGTTGGACATATTTTCTCGAAATCAAGATTCATTTCAGCCGATCGGAACAACCACCGTGATAATTCTTGTCAACCGTCCCGTCCCTACGTTTATTATTTTTTTTTAATTTAGAATAGGGTCCAAAAACGGAATGCAAATAAAACTCATTGACAGAAACGATTTACTCATTTGATCACTTTTTTTTGTCACTAAAATTAAAACAGCTCGATTTAACTTAAATCGTTTTTTCAAGTTAACTATAAAATAAACAGCTATTTTTTTTTTAAATAATGAACAAATTTGATTACGGTACAGCTAACTAACATTTTTAAAGTTTTTACGATTGTTTTCAACTTTTCAGCTCTTCTAAAACGGATATGAACAAATCCACATGGCTAAAGAAAACATCAACTATAAAGTGTAGATTAAAAAAAAAAAATCGAAAAAACAAAAAAAGTAACTTCGTTCACGAAAACGAAATACGAACACCACCAGAGCAACAAACGGTCTAGTGCCAGTCAAAGCGATTAAAATACTTGGACCCTAAAGAAAAAAAAAAATGAAAGAAAAATAAAGATTCGAATATTTTTTTAAAATCTCACACAAAGCAATAAACCAAATCTTTTTTTTTTTACTGTCCCCGTCTAGTAAAATGGCCATAATTCAGTTCACCAATGTAGGTATTGTTATTTAATACTAATAATGTTAAATAAAGTACTACCAAAGTTGGAGATGAAAGATTGGTCGTCGTAAAAAAATGGTCCACTTTATAAAAAAAAAAAAAGCAGAAAAAGCATAACAACCATTTCGTTATTATATGCTATCAATATTTCACGGTACTCAAATCGGCGAAGCAGATTTCTTCTTAAAAAAGAAATATAAATAAAAGTAAAACTAAAGACTAAAAACTGACTTACCCGTAAAAGAAAAAAAAACTATTTTCTTTTCGTAAAAAAAGAAACTTTCGTTCTCACATGTGAATCTAATAAATAAAGCTTCAGCAAGTGTTTTTTTTACGAAAGATCTTCATAACATGTGACCAACAGACCCACACTCTACTCCAGGGTTATGTAAGTGCGAGATATAAAAAAAAATTAATTTAAAATTTGATTGCCTACTTTGATACTGGGAGGATTTTGCAAGCACTCGATTGACCGATTCATAGAAAGAATGTCCTTTCTCTTTGAAAAGATCAGTACATACACGGATTTTAACAGCTCTGGGACCTCAGGCATTTCATTCCGAGTCTTGCTTTTAAACTTTAATTACTAATTAATAAGTAATTAACTCGGTTGACGCGGTTATCAAACGATAGTTAAACGGTGAGCGATGGTGATAAAAATAAATAAATTCATTCATTTGTCACGGCGACATAACGACTCCAAAAATTACGAAAAAAAAAAAAATGCTTCAATTTTGTTCCTTTTCTTAAATTAATTCAAAATTTGTTTTACAATTTTCATTATTAAACCATTAACATGACTTTTAGAATAAGACAACCGTTCCAGTAGGTATAGCGGAAACTCATAATGGTAATGTTGCCCCCATCTAAATTCTTTGATGTTCACGATCAAAAAGGTAGAGGGGGTTAGAAAGAGAGAAACAAGATTAAAGACAGTCAATCAACTGTCTCACACACGCACAGCAGGATGATATCGCATTATTATGAAGCGCTTTACATTTCAACAACTTGTTACGCACACAGCCCGATTAGCTAAAGGCTAACAATTAAACAATAATATAAACATCAAAATATCTTATAATTGTTTTCATTAAGTTTTAACTTTCTGTTACGATCATAAATGTATTTTGCAATCTAAGGAGTAAACTTTTAGATCGTAATGGGACGGTATACTTGGTTAGACGATGACAGCATCATTTTTTTTAATTGCACGGTTTTTAGGTTCGAAAACTTTCTACCACAAAGCGATGATTAGCAAGTGCGCCTCGTAGATTATTGTTAGCGAATTCGATGGTCACTGGGTGCTCATGTAATGTGGTCTTTTACCATACTATGCAAAATTTAGGAAATAAAAATCGATATGCACGCAATAGAAAATGTGGGATCGTTTACTCAAAGTAAACCAGTACTGGTGATCTTTACTTTATAAAACACACGATAATCCGAATGATCAGGCCAATCAATATAAAACTATAAAGAACTTTTCATTTATTTACACGTGAGGTTGGAAATGAAACCCTTCATATCGTTTGTAAAAAGAAGGATTATAAAACAAAATTTTAAAAAGAAGGATTAAAATTTTCAGAGTTTTAAATTCATTAAACTTTAATTTAAACGGGTGTGTGTGTGTGTGTGTGTGTGTGTCCGTCCAGGTTTGAAATCTAAAAGGACATGAAAAATACAAAACTATCCTAAGTAAACTAAAGTAAAAAGAAATTAAACCCGTGTTTCAAAGTTGGGAAAGAATGTGGGGTGAAAAATTGTTTCGGAGAAGATTGAATTTAGTGAAAAAGAAAAAGATAAAAAAACCAGAAAAATATCTTCAAAAGAAATTTTACTATAATTTAATCAAAGAGAAATTACAAAAAAATAAACTATAACAACGATTAAACAAACAGGTGATCGTGTTTATGTAGGTAAAAAAAAAAAAAAAGCTAAAATAAAAGCTAAAATAAAATAAGGAATTTTAAATAAGGTGGGTGGACTTAAATACCTCCCATGTACGACTGATAGGAAATACATCAAAGTAATCATTAGTCAATAAAGGTAAACAAAAGAGTTGAATTCGATATCTAAATTTTTTTTAAACACATACCTGATCAACAAGCGTAGAAAACTTCATTTCCTAACCGTGTTGTCCATCCAAAGTACATAGAAACCAAAATATAACGAATATTTTTTCTTTTCTCTTAAAAAAAAAAAAATAAAAAAATAAAAATAATCCTTTGTTACTGTGTCGGGATGTAAATATTTATATATTTTTCTTTTTTTAAAGATATTTTTAAATACACACTTTTATGAGTATATGCGGTCGTTAGTGTGTAGTCAAGAAAAATCAGATAATCTTTTTTCTACAGAAAAATACAAGGGTGATAGAATTTATCGGCCCTCGTTTTCTTTTATCTTTTTTTTTTCTTCTTTCTTCACAGGTAAGGGGTAAAAGAAACGGGTAGATGCCTGGTGTTAGTGTAGGTAATAAAAGTAGACCAAAAATAATAATGATAATATAGAGAAGTAGATGGCAGCATATCTCCGACGGTAAAGACTGGCGAATATTGAAAGCACAAGGCAGTGAATACAAGTCGTTGCAGGATGATGATAATAATAATAAGAAGAAGAATAAGTCCACGGAAAGCAGGCTGAGTTATGACAGAAGTGAGTATGTATGGCGAGTGTGGTGTGGAGCAAGCATCGTGTATATTATAAAATAGAGGGGAGTAAAAAGAAACCTCCTACTCCGCCAGAACAACAACAACAACAACAATCATCACCATGCAGGTGCGCAGGAGGAAAGGAAAGAAAATAATAAAGAGAGGAGAAGGTGGGTGAGAGAGAGAAAGGAGAGTGGAGTGAGTTACGGCAATTGGGGAGACGGTGTAGTTTCTAAAGAGAAAGGGGGGAATTTACGGCATGGGAAAGAGGAGGAAGATGACGATGGCCCGTATTGGGAGGAGGAGCAGTTACGGAAAGGGGGAAAGGAAGAGGAGAATCCGTAAAGGGGTAAGGGGGTAGCTAGAAGCGAAAAGGGAGAATGGGGAGTGAGCGAGAATAAGTTATGGCCAGTTTGAGGGTGAGAAGAGAGGAAACGAAGTTGCATGCGAATGAGTAAAGGAAAGAGAGTGGAAAAAGAAAATCAAAAGTGAACACAGTAGGAAGGAAATCAAGGGAGAAATGGAAAAATAAAAAGTAATGATGTGAAAGAAAGAGAAAAGACTGTCAAAAAGAGAGAAATATTGTAAAATATAATGGAGAGAGAGAGAGGGTATGTTTATCACGAAAAGGATAACATGGAATAGAGATCATAAGAAAATAATGAGGGTATCAGTAAGAGAATGAAGGGGAGGCCGTAAATAAACAGCACTGGAGTAGGAGAAGGAGGCCGTAAATAAAAAGACGGCAAAAGGGAGTAAGAAGGAGAGAGACAGAGATAAAAAAGGGAGGGGGGAAATAGGAGGAGCTAAAAATTAAGACAAGATTCGCAACGTGCTTTGGCCACAGCGGTTCTTTTCCCCCATCCCTCGTCCCATTTCTCCCTCCACCAACTTCGCTCTACTAAATTATTATTTGAGGCTTTACTTTCTCCATTTCCCCAACTCTCCCGTCAACCTCTGCTTTTCATCCGTTTCTGCTTTCACCATGCATTTACATATCTCAGTCTTTTATTATGTAGCATTGGCAGTACAAATGCAGTGGGGGTTCCAAAAGCCAAACCACCACCACCAACAACAACCACCACCCCACTGTAGAAGAAAACTGCTTAACAGTGAATAGTAGTAATATTAGTAGTCATAATAATAAAACCTACTACTTTTGCTAAGTTAATGTAAAAACAGAAATATAGTACATAGTTATTTAACTGGACATGTACGCGCACATGATTGTGCAATTTAGCCTGACAGTCTGTGTGCGCGTACATGTGTATGTGTAAGATTTTTTTGTTACACATGCATTTCAAATGCAGTAAAAAAAAAAAAAAAAAACGATTAAAAATAAAACAAATCGATGTATGAAAATAAAAATAAAATGGAAGTTTTGCATTCGTATTATTATTGTACAGTACATATAATTAATTACGTAGCAAATATGTACGCAGGGCATATGTGAGCTTCAGCTTCATAGTTTTGTGTGTACGTACGAATTTGCATGCATTTGTTTTAAAAGCGCGCGCGTCTGGTGCGTGTACTGTGTGCGTGTGTACTGTCCATTTTTCGAAAGCGCTTGCCCTGATGGTTAAGAAGCGTTATAGCTTCCAAACTAAAATGAATAGTTTCAACTCCCCATGCCCGTATTCCATTACTGTACCCTTGTACCAGTTTCATTTTTAAAATCAATTGAACATTGAAGGAATTTGTTACTACTAGACCCCCACTCCCCACAAGAAGAGTCATCATCTTGAGGTTAATGATGATGAAAATAAGACTGTCAATGCTGAATTCGTATCTTTATACACGTGCGCACTTGGCGACACGTGTGTAGATATTTTGAGTCAAGCACAAGGCCGTAACAGTGGGTATTTTTTAGTGAGATTGCAAGAAATTCAAATGAGTAAAGAAGGGACACAGGCCAGCAGCGAAAAACCAACCGAACGAGCTTTGGCAGAAAAGAGACTGGGGGGAGGGTAGCAAAACGACAAACCATGTCCTTACTTTAAGAGCTATTATAGGAAGTTTTTGAAAGGGACACGGCACACCAAGGAAAAAAAAAACCCACAGTAAATGGGTATTTTTCAGTGCACCCACGTCGCTACCGAATGTGACACAAGGTCATTTGGAATGTGGGTTTAACGGCAATACCGTGTAAAAATCTGCCCGGTACCTCCCTTTTTGGGAACGCCTCATGGCCCCGGGAAATAAACCCAGCCCCTTCCCGAAGGAGAGGTACTGCCTTGGGGGGGCTTGGGGGGTTGAACGGACCCCTGGGGCTTGAGCTTAATATTAATTTTTAAAACTTCACCAGTATGCGTCAGGTAAAAAAAAAAAAAAAGCAAAAAACAAAAAACAAAACAGTAATGAGCTATAAGACGAACTAACTATCATTCTCTACGGTAGGTGCCTTTTAGTTTTAGGCTTTAGCGGTACATGTTCATGTTGATCATAAGCAGCGGTCAACATATACGTTTTTAAAGGGATATACGAAAAATGAAAGTGTAGCAACAGTGTGTATATATGTGCATGCCGTATGTATCTGAATGAATGTCTTTGCTTGTTTTATATGCACACGCGTGTACGTCAGTGTGTGGGGGATAGATGCACTTAGCGCAGTTGTACATGAGTAACGACACTTGCCTTTTCGTATGCCTTAAACTAATACACGTGTATAGTCATTACTTTTACGATTTTACGGCTTATAACGAAGAGGTGGGTAAAGATGCAACATGACCTATGCACCAACATAATTACCCAGAGGCTAACGAAGCCCCAGAAACAACGATTTTTACAGATAAATGAAAAAAAGTGTGTTGAGGGGGGGGGTCAATCTTTTTATTTCTCATTACACCAGAAGCTCCAACCACACTACCATCTCCCATATTTATATGCAACTATGTTTTTGTGTGCCGTTACAAATTTTTAACGTAGAATGCATAGAATTGTGTGTGCGTGTGTGCTTGAGAGAGAGAGAGAGAAAGAACGAAGGGAAAAGAGTTTGTATGCTTTCAGTTTATGAATTCTATTGGTGATGGGAAACAAAACATGATTTGAAAACTAAATTTTAAATCAAAACTCCCTCCTAGATAGTCCCTTTCAGTATAAAGACGAATGTGTGTGAGAGGGAGGGTGCACACCTTAAATCAGCGACACATGTATATACAAAAATTACTTTTAAAAATGCATATGTAGTAACGCGTATTTTTGCCGATACGTCATACATTAGTTTGGCACAAGGTCGCATGTGAGGTACCCAACGAGGATTAAAGGCAGAGACACACTATTCCACGACAGGGAACTCAAACTTGGCTCACTGGAACTATTTGTCGAGCTAAAAATTGTTACATCATCAATGTTTAACTCAATTTTAAAATCTAACACAACACAAGGTTGCAAATGTGGAGCACGCTGTGAAAATTAACCTCACAGTAATAATAAAGGTTTGTGAAACTAGTTTGATTATTAACCCTTGCTCCACGGCGAGGTACCCCATATGTAGCGTGTGTGAGTATGCAAGAGTTGACCAACGAACTAGTAGTAATCGTATAAAGTGCAAAGCAATAAGTGTGTGCACACAAATGCGTAGAGAGTGCATTTAAAAACGTTCTTATTACGAATGAAATGTAAGCTCGGAGCGTACATGGAGAATCTTATGCAACCATCACACACATGGACGCGCACACGTCAAGAACATGTGATGCTGACACACTCGTAAATAAAAATACTGTTTTAATGTTGCCATGTGCACATATACTTAGGATAGCACAAAAATGTATTTCAATTACATACGTTTGTATATTAAACGTCTCTATTTCTCCCACCTTCTCTTCTGTGCGCATCTATTTATGCATGTAGCTGTAGAGAAAGTAGGCAGGAGTTTGGTGAGAGAGAGAGTTGCGTATTACGCTTTGCGACCGATGCCGCTGGTAAAAAGACAGCATTTGAAACCTGATTTTCAAAGAAGGCAAACATCTACCCCCACTTGTAAGATCAGAGAAACGCGATCTTCTTACCCACCACCCTTCTCCATAATTTGGCATTTGTACCGTACGAAGCAGAGTTTGTTTTTTTGTTTTTTTTTTAAACGGACGCGTACGCAGTTGTTGCGCATAAGTATATGAAAAAGTAGTTGTTTTTTTTTTAAATACTGAAGGCTTTTTCAGTTGGGTAGTGTCCTATAACTAAGGACTATTTTTTTTATAGAAAAAATTATTTTAAATTCTTAAACAAAAAATAGAGAAAAAGTATTTATTTTTCAAAACAAAAGTGATGATATTCAATATTCATTCTGAAAAAAATCTTTCAGTAAAAAAATAAAAAAAAAATGGTTGTCAATAATAGGAACATATTGTTCTCTTTTTAGAGAGTTCGTTGAAATGTGGGTACTCCGTAAACGTGGCCTTGTAACACACAGATTAATTCAAACACCTGTCTTACTTTCTCAGAAGATATCACTGAGTTACACTAACCGGCAAAAAAAGAGGCAACTACAAAGGGCAGTTTGCCCTGACTGGTGTTGCCTGCTTCTTCGTCATATAAGATCACCAACCAAGCATCTAGCTAGAAAATAAAACAAAAACCAGGTGACCTGCAAGTCCTATACTCTACCAGAGAGCTATACCAGTAGTAGTAGTCATACTAATGACACTTGAACATGCATATTGACAATATTGTGTGTGTGCGTGGTTATGTCTGAAACCGGTGCTGTTTGCACACACACGTGTCTTTCGTGCATGTCATGTGTTTGTGTGTTCGTGCGGCGACTGACGGTTTGGAAATCTACGGGAGGAAAAAAACGCCAGAGTCCGACTAGCTGTAAACGACATGCATCCATATATACGGCATTTGGTCTTGTTGAAACAATACACGCAAGAAGATGCCGGCACAGTAAAAAAAAAAAAAGGCGGCGATCTAAGTCACCTTGCCCACATCTGACTTGACAAAATCGTAGCACGCCTCTCATAAGAAGGTTAACCTCTCTCTCTCAATCATACACACAAAAAATAATGCACAATGACGAAATAATGACATACATGATCAAGGTACAAATAGTATAATCACACTAAGAATTATTATATAATCATCACGCGCTAGATGCATACTTCATATTACACCCGATATCGAACATAAGACTATATTACGAGTGTGTATAAAATCACACGCGATTGTGGTGAAAAGTACTTGGCCAGACCAAGAGAATCTTATAAAAAAAAAAATAAACATATTGGTGGGGGGGGGGTAAGGTATTTACTTATAGGAAATAATACATTTATTGAGTATTCATACTTCTCCCTCTTCATTCATAGAGAGAGAGAGAGAGAGAGAGAGTAGTGTAATGAACAGTTGACTAGTAAGGCCTATTTCAATGCGGCTCCATAGACATTTTTTGTGTAAACGAAACCATTGTGTGTGTGTATATCTGTTATACTGTCTTCTATCTCTCTATCCATCTCTGATTTTACCGATTTTGACAGGAATTGAAGAGCCTTGATGAAAAGACTTGTGCTTTTTTGTTTTGAAAAGGCAGGTGTCCTATGAAAAGGTGCTGAAAATAGTTCTCACATCACACCTTCATTTAATCAGTATTTGAATATACTAAAAGCGATTTTTTAGAGCTATATCGGACTGTTGAAAAGTTTCAACACTTTCTCATATAGCTAAACTTTTATAGAAATTCTATATATTAGGCCATTCAAATGTGTTTTCGAAGTGGGTGAGCCACAGACACACATAGCACCTTTTCATAGGACACCTGCCTTTTCAAAACAAAAAAGCACAAGTCTTTTCATCAAGGCTCTTCAATTCCTGTCAAAATCGGTAAAATCAGAGATGGATAGAGAGATAGAAGATAGTATAACAGATATACACACACAGTAAGAAGGGCATATACACAAAAAATGTCTATGGAGCCGCATTGAAATAGGTTTTAGTCAACTGTTCATTTATTACACTATTATTTTTCTAATGCACACATTAAATACCACTTCTACTACAAGAAAAAAAAAAGAAGAAATGGTGAAATTAAAGCCCATGTTTACATAAATAAATAAGTGACAGGCCTTTAAGAGAAGCAGCAGCAGCAACGACCAATGGCTGTTGTAATCTATAGGATCATGTCAATAACAGGACAAGTAGTTTCCAGTGATTATAAGCGAGAAACCTTCCGGAGATTTAGATAATTCGATACTTTAGCAAATTAATTGGCTTGCTAGTTTCCCCACCCACTTTCGCCATTTAAAATACGTATTCGACGGGGTTTTTTTTTTTTTTTGTAAGTATATCGCAACAAAAAACAAAATCAATGCATTTTTTTACAATTAACGAAGTTAAAATAAATTGGTCATTTTCTTCTTCGAAGGAAGCTGCTACTTAAGAGGTGTGTTTAAAAGCAGGCCTCTCCCTCTTCGCCACAGAGGAGAATATAATTTTATTGTAAAGATACTTAGAGAAGCATTCATTTCGCACAGGCATGTGGACTAAAAAGTATAGGAAAAATTTGAGCGGTACGCCGCGAAAATCAAACATGCGAGCAATGGCTTGCGAGACGTGTTCGTTCTAATCACAGAGTAAGTCAATCGAATGGACAGATTGAAATTGGTAGGGAATGTCAACTAGGCAAAAATATGTATGAACTGTTAGATACAAGGGAAGAAAACATGGAACAGGTAATTGTTACATACACACACACACTAAGTGTGTGTGTGTGTGTGTGTGTGTGTGTGTGTGTGTATAGTATGTACTTCAAGAGTGTCAAAGGTGAAAAAATCAGATATTTTAGGGGTGGAGAGTGTGGGTGACAAAATGGCATGTATACACGTGAAAGAATGATTTTGCTAAGCTGGCGTTTTGCGTTCAAGCTTCAGACAAGGAAGCTGGTATGGAGAGCGTTAAGGGAATCGTTTCAGTCCTTTTTTTGTAAAATCTCGAATAATACTCGGATAAAAATCGTTCAAAATAGGAACGTTTAAAACTAAAAGTATTTGGTCTCAAGGACAAATGGTTCTGTGCAAAGTGCCAGGTCGGTGATGCTCATTAATTTAAACTAACACATAAAAAAGTAACTTGATTTCAAAATAGAAAACCCATTAACTTTCACAACCAATCTAATAGCGGAATAATCACAGGCTACCATTTAATTTGTGGGTGATGCTGGTAGGTAGATAAGTAGGTGAGGTAGATTGGTTGGTCAGCGTGGACAGAATTCACAAATGGTGGACGCGTAGAAAACGATGTGTATGTTTTACAACAAAAGAATTGTATTAACGTTCGTTACATATACGGCACAGTATATGCAGTTTGGAAGGTGCAAATTCTTACATGCATTTCAAGATATATTTATATAATACATACGATTTGTAGGTAGAGAACTAGGAATTGCATTCTACACACAATACACGCATTTGGCTGCATTATTGTGTAATACCTACAGTGTTACGTAGATAAACTGTCTCTCACTATTACATATATGTGTGTGTGTGTGTGTGTGTGTATTTACGTAAAGTATGTTTTAGCCTAACATCCTAATCTTAGATAAAAAGTACCGTAATATACATTTCATCGAGGCAGATAGGTATGAAGATACTGAGATAGATGTCTCATACGTTTAGACCACTGTGTCTAACAACTGCCGATTTTTTTATACATCTATCCTTAGAGACGACATTTTAGACAGAAATACGCACATACATACATATATATATATATATATATATATATATATATATATATATATGGATAGAGAGAGTAAGAAAGAGAAAGCATGGGGGTTACTATTTGAGCTATTAAGCAATAAACACTTAAACACTATTAAAGTGTGTGTGTGTATATATATATACACGCACACAGAGACAGGTGTGTGTGTATATATATATATATATATATATATATATATAGAGAGAGAGAGAGAGAGAGAGTGATGGAGAGATGTGTGTGTGTATATATATATATATATACACACACACATACATACTAGAGAGACAGGTGTTTGCGTGTATATATATATATATATATATATATATATATATATATATATATATATATATATGATAGCATACACTATGTGGGTTGCTATTTGAACTCATGGTAGATTTTATTAAGTATTACACGTATCCATAATCAGACTGTGCAAACACACGAAAATGAGAACGTATATATATATATATATATATATATATATATATATATATATATATATATGTGTGTGTGTGTGTGTGTGTGTGTGTGCATTAGTTTGTGTGTGTGTGTACGCATTAGTTTGTATATGTGCATTTATATTAGTATCTAGGTTTAGATGTCTTTTGTGCGCATACAGAACAAGCTTCCCAAAAAATACATATAGGATACATACTTTCAATACGCACACTAATGCAACAACCAGTGTGTGCACAATGAATATTTACATTTGCATATTCCTCCTATGTAAGTTTGGTGCGCATAAAGATGCACACTGTGCATTAGTAAACCATGGTAATCTATGTATGGCATAGTACACACCAAATAGACACCTACCCTCCAATGATGTCAAAGGTCAGTAATAACCAGATTTGAATTAGACAACTGATACATGAAGAGAAAGACGTTAACGATTTTGTTATTATTACCTGGATTTGGTGACAATTGATTTTCAATCTAAATTTTGTTTTCTTGAATAAAGTTAAGTAAATGTTTTTTTTTTTTTTTTTTTTTTTTAAAGGGGGTAAAGTGTGTCTGCTCCCACGCTAAAGAATATGAACTTCTATATGCGCTCAGATAAAGAATATGCATGGCATGTTTGAAGTGAACATGTGCCCTGATGCATAAACCTTACTGTCGTATACCGCGACAAACAGTATCTTAGCCCGTTACAAGCGGTATATACATCTTAGTGCTAGTGTCTTTCTTATGTAGGCGTCTCTCCTCCGTACACACAAACACACACTCATATAACTAGGAATAAGGGTATACGTTGGAAGAAATGAATACCTTAAATATGATCATCTATGTATTTCGGTATGACTTTAGGTTGCATACATGAGCAGAAAAATGGCACGCGTGCATACATGAGTGAAAATGTAAGCTAAGCATAAATATGTAGAAAGTGTGTTGAGAAAGTATGCGTAATTACGTACACAGAAAGATCTATGTACACGCATGCACCTGAATAACGAACATTACTATACTTGAAATGTACTTTGTACAGTAAATAAACGCGCGGGTGTACATTGCGTTTCAATAATAAGAGAACTTAGATGAATAAATGGCTATTTTGTGTGGGTGGGCTCAACATACACATACACACACAAAGAAAAAAAAAATAGAATGTAAAAAAAAAAGAGACCCTAAGGCTTAAACATTTAAAACAAATTTCCAAAAAAAAAAAAAAATAAATAAATAAAGCCAACGGCATCTTTTGTGAGGAGTTTTTTTTGTGGATGCAGTGTAAAGCGGATAATGCGTGACAAAATAAGTGGTTCTGGTGAACCAAACTGAGCAACGCACTGGAGGCTAATAAATCTAAAGGTGTCACCTCCAATTTTATGATCTGTTTTTTTTTTTTTTTTTTTCCACAAAAATAAAACAGCAAAAAGACGAGGCAAAGGGCGGGGTTGGGGTTAATTTTTAAAGTGTACTGAGATTGAACGATTACAATACCCACGTGTCACTGATCGAGGTCCGCGTGTGAAAATATTGAAAGAGCGTCGATTAACTGGAAATATATAAAAGTTAAAAAAAAAAACAAAAAAAAAACGGCAGAAATGGACATGAACACTAGTGAAAATCGTGAAGAAAACCACAGATATTCTGGCTTAAACCTACAAAATACCGAATTAAATTAGCTCAGTATAAAAGGCATATATTTATGATCAATCCAAGCCTAAATCAGTTTGGATTAAAAAAAAAAAAAAAATAACTATATAATAAACACGTGTTCTGTATTCGTAAAAACAAAAAAAAGCTACACCTTGCAATTGAGTTTGGTTGGAATAAAAATAATTTTAAACTATCAAGCATATTCGGATTTTAGTAGATAAAAAAAAAAAAAAGCCAATGGCATTATTTAAATAATTGCGATCTTTGAAGAACATCATTCACAATCCGGTCTCCGTTGTATACGTCAGTTTTTCCTCTCAGAAGTAAACAACAAGAATTCAATCGCATTTAACTGTTTCTGACCAATGGAATTAAGATACATTAAAAGCCATCAGAGAGCATTTGGATCAAAACAAATGAGTAATAAATGCTTAAAAGCCATGGAGATGTGATTTGACGTTCGCCCTACGGCGACATACGGAAGCACAGTGGCGCTATAAGAAGTAAATAAACAAATAACAAAAGTAAGTGATCAAGTGTGTGTGTAGGTGTGTGCGCGCGCTCATTTCGGAAACAGACACGTGCAGACGCAAAATCCGTTAGGAAATACAAATTCTTAAGAAAAACCTTTGTGTTAAAATATTTAAAACGGCAGTAGAGTCCTTACTTATTTTACGAATTTACAAACACTTAAGTTGAATTTTTGTTATTGATTCTTAACGCCGTACAAATGACAGAAAAAGGTTAGAATGGGATTTCAAATCCACAAACGTGCTCCATGAAGAGAGTGAAAGCCATTTTTGGAGGACATTTTAGCTTAAAAAGTTGGAGCCAAGAAGAGAGATTAAAAAAAATATATAGTCATGGACCTTCCTTTGGGAATCAAGTCATTTTGAACAATTTAGGTGAATAATGCTTAGGTCGATATTTTTGTTGCCAAAATCACTGTATACGGAGAAAGAGATCGGGATAGATTTGTTGAACAAATCCGGATAAACAGCAAGAGGCAATTAATCAATGCTCACATGTTATAAGAATGTATTTCCTTAAAATTATCAAAAGGTTTTACTCGATAGCGACAAATGACAAAAATATAGATTTAAGGCTTGCTATATTTATGGGTAAAAGTGCCCAACATTAAAGATGTGTAAATATAAAATATAAAAGTGTACACTGAGGTCAGCACCGAATGGCGACAGTCTGTTCCAGGCTTGAAAATTATAGTGTTGACCTCAGTGTCCAAACACACACCATATATATATATATATATATATATATATATATATATATTAGTGCATTGGGGCAGCAGATTATTATTCAAATATATATTGAATATAACAGACAACAAATGTTTATGTTTGATCATGGGCCATTCTAAACTTCTTATAGTTGCTTTAATTTCAGGCTAAGAATAAAGACAAAAATTGTCTAACATTTGGACATTTTATTATGCTGTTCCTTGATCTAAGCTTTCGGCTCACATGAGCCATCTTCAGAGTGGTTATATAGAGATTTAAACAAAGATATTCAGCATCAAAGATGATATCCTCTTATGTTGACACACACACATATATATATATATATATATAGAAAAATTTTGGACACCACATGGTGGAATTGATCAATATGTACATTGGGAGATTTCTTAGAAATTTTCTGAACCAGCTCAAAAAGTCAAAAAGTTGTTGATTAGTGAGTTTTAAATTGCTTTTAATTTTTATGATTTATTGATATTGTATTTGATTAAACTGAGAATCTTTCTTGGCTCATGAAATTGTTGAGATGATAGGGATGATTCACACCACTATTAATATATATATATATATATATATATATATATATATATATATTTTGCCAAAGTATATAAGCAGGGTTTAATAACAGCCATCTTTTAAACAACCACTGAAACTACACCTCCTCACAAATATATGAAAGAAAGAAATATCTAATAAAAACATTTACATATTCCCTTTTGACAAAGGTGGTGGAATTATAATGATGGATATACATGCACATTATATATAACTGTTTTTAAATAAGCAACTTAAGATTTTGAACAAGACTCAAATTGTTTAATGTTTGTACAAAAATTGGTCCTCTGCTTGCTTAAAATTTTTACACTCCAGTCTAATAAAAAAAGAAAGATGTTTTAATTCAACTAGAAAAATTGACAATCTTTAAAAAATAGTATCAAATAACTTACTTAGCAAGTTTTTTTTTTTTTTTTTATTTAATTATATTTTTTCTGTAGTTGCATAAGCCACAATAATCTTTATTTGTGGAGTTAAGCGTTTTGCTGAAGTCAACTTTAGGTAGTTGCTTATATATATATATATATATGTGTGTGTGTGTGTGTGTGTGTGTGTGTGTATTTGGGGTGCTGAAAAGTTTACAGCCCAACCCACTCAGCATTTCAATGATCAATCAAGTTTTTTTTTTTTATGATTAATGAAACTTGATAAATGATATGCCATGTGTGTTGAAATTCAAGACGCATAAGTACAGCATGTACATTTCATGACCCTAGTTCTTGGCCAGGCAGAGGACATTTCAGCACCCCTTGTTTTGTATTTGTGTCTATATAACATGCTTTAATATATGCACATAGTGTTTTTGTAATGGCACGCGTGTGCTTACGTAAGACAGAGAGATGGGAGGGAGTCAGGAGAGTAGTGTATAGAGAGAGTGTAGGCAAAATCGTTTAACATCCATGTTACATTGAGAGCACACATGGGCAGTAGGCCGAACAAAAAGAATACAAGGAAGGAAGGAAGGAGAATAAGATGTAGCAGGTGTGTTGGGAACGAGTTTTCTATTGCGTGTAGGCGGATGCTATGCAAGAAGAGGCGGTTTTGTGTGTTCCATACACTACTCACCATAAAGAGAGGAGGTGCAAATTCTCTAGCAGTTGACAAAATTCTCATGTTTCTATATGATACATAAGTATATATATATATATATATATATATATATATATATATATATATATAGAAAAGAGAGAGAGATGGTATTTAGGCAGTAACCCTCTCTAATATATTTTTTTTACTAAAAAAAAAATTTTAAAAAGTGCCTAAAAATAATTGAAGCTCTAATCCTATGAAAAAAAATCTTAAGATCAACTATGAAGAGGGCCATCAAGTACTGGGAGTGTTTGGGAACTATAGACATGACTATATAGCAACAACTAACACACCATTTACAACAGCCTAACCAAAATCCTTGAAAATGGCTAATAGATTAGCTGAAAGCATTCGCAATGAAGAATTATTTGGATAATTTCTTCATACACAAAAGTACCTTGTTAGTCATTTTCAATGAAACGCACACATACAAACATACATGTGTATGTGTGTGTGTATATATGTAAATAGAGGTGAAAGAAAGATTGACACACTTTTCATCTTTTACTTGGTGGTATTGGTAGGAAGACAAGCTAAGGTAACCAATGAAGTTTTACATTTAATCAAACATGGAATGGACACTATAAATGGACGTGCTCTGTAGGTACTTAACATCAAGCATGGTGAATTTTACAAACATGGACATGAACTGGCTGCATTTATAGAAAAAAAAAAAAAAATTGCTTAAGATCAGGTCTAGACACCTGTTTATAGGTTTCAGTTTTATAGTTTCGACTGTTGATGTCAACCTGACATCTCCAGATGAGTGAGCAAAATCGAGAGCCTTTCCTGTACAAGACTCTCTGCAAGAAACATGTTGAGGACAGTTAACAGAGAAATAGAAGAAAGAAAAAAAAAAAGAGATGTAAAAAAAAAAGAGATGTAAAAAAAAAAGAGATGTAAAAAAAAAAGAGATGTAAAAAAAAAGAGATGTAAAAAAAGGGAGATGTAAAAAAAAAAGACAAATACGGCAAAAAGAGAGAAAATAAATAAGAGATGCTGGAGAGGGGGAGAGAGAGAATAACAGATGGAAAAAAAGGAAAATGTTACAAGTACAGAGAGATAAAGTACATGTGCCTATATATATATATATGAAGAAAGAGTAACAGAGAAAATACATACAGAAAAGCGGGAAAGTGTTTGTGTGTATATAGGTAGAGAGAAAGAGAGAGATGTTGTATATACAGGATGCACATAAATACCTCCCACACAATGGTAAGAAATTAGGGGCAATGGTGTCACCATCTAGCTTAATGTCTTACCATTATGTAGAAGGTATTTTTCCCCTCTGTGTGTGTGTGTGTATATATATATATATATATATAGAGAGGAAGGAAAATAGTGTATATATAAATAGAGAGAGGGAGTGTGTGTGTGTATATATATATATATATATGAGAGAGAGAGAGAGAGAGAGAAAAATAGTATATATATATATATATATATATAGAGAGAGAGGAAAAGAGAGAATACGTACATACACACAAGTGTGTGCCTAAATATAGAGATTGTGTGTGTGTGTGTGTGTATTTTATATATATATATATATATATATATATATATATATATATATATATAGGGACTCTGCTATTGTGAACAATAAATGAGGGTCAGCCTTTCATTTTACACTTATGCATGCTATTGAAGGGCTATTGTGGAGAAAATCAGGTAAAAGTAAGATATATTTCATTTATAAAGACACACACACACACACACATATATATATATATATATATAAAAAACTTTTCTGCCCACCAACATCATGGTTGTCGCTAGATTCCTGGAGAGTGACACACTGCACCTCCTTGGCATCATGTTTTCAACTTGAAGTGGAACAACTATATTGAATCAATAACTGCATCTACTGTAAGGACAATGTAATCAATCCTGACTTGGCATCTTGACTTCAGTCACTTTCTCAAAGATGTGTTATGGCTTTCTTTCTGTCTTTTCTACAAATATTTTCATGGTAGCTGTTTTTGTTTTTTTTTTTTACTGGTGTCCTGACTACAGGAATTTAAGCATGCTACTAGACTGGCATCTAGGTCCCACCCTTTCACTGTCAAAATAGTTAAATGTAACTGCTGCTTCTACTCCAGCAGTTTATTTTCTTGCATTTCCTGTCTGTGGAGCTCCCTTCTGTTTACTTGCTTCCCTGATAACTACAGTCTTCAAAAATTTAAAAATAATGTTAATCACAGCCATCTGTCTTCTTGAATCCCGTTGATCTTTTATCCTTTCATCAATCACCCCAAATACACAGTATTTTCTCTCATTTTCACTCTCTGTACTCCCCTGCATACTAATGGTATTCCTGCCTTTCTTGGTGTGATATATATATACAGGAAGTACTTATGCAGAAAGAGTGAGAAGAGTTATGCATATATTGAGTACTGAGAGAGAAAGACAGTGTACAACAAGAAAGAAAGACAGACAGAGAGAGACAGTGGGAGAGGAATGAGGGAGAGAGAATGTCATGACAATAAGAGAACATCATGAGAGAGGAATATATAGTAACAGAAGAGAAACAAAGATACATTCAGTAACATGAGAAAAAGAAAGAAATACATAAATGAAGTAGCATCAGAGAGACACAATGTGCTCTAAAACAGAAAAACAGGCAATTGCCATGAAAAAGAGAGTCAAAATCCTATTGGAGAGAGAGAGAGAGTGTTACAAGAAAGAAACAGAGAAAAATGTGTTGAGAGAGTGCCTTATGTTGAGAAGCAGAAAGTTGAAATTTCAGAGTTTTAGGAGTTATTGTCAATAAATCACTGTTGTCTCTGTTCTGCATGAAAAATAGAAAACATTACTCTTGTGCAAAAACTCAAGACATGATAAACTTTTCTTAAAAAAAAACAAGCAAGAAAGCAGATAAAACAGATTTCAATAATCAATGGCAAAAAAGGCTTCCAGTTTTAAAAGTCAGCATTTCCCTTAACTTTTTATTTTTTTCTAAAACAAGATAACCAAGTATTGTAACAGATCCATTTAAAACAGTTCACAGCATCTTTGTTTATCAGAATACAATTTCACAACAAAACAAGCAATAAACTGAAATTAAAATAGACAGACAACATTCTGGAGAAATTCAAATTTGAGAGTAAACAGTTTGACAATTTTTTTCATGTTTCATCAAGATAAATCAAGCTAAATGAATATCATTGATGCAACATTGACAGCTCGATAGTGAGTTGGGTGTGCAAATATAAAAGCCTTCATGTTTGACCATCACCTTTTGGTTATTCTAAAATAACAGACAGAAATGTTATTCAAATTATATTGGCACAAAGCAATTTATTTTAAATAAAGTGTTCACATAAATTTATAATACATTATGTAGAAAGAGTTTGTTTAATGGCATGTCAACTCTTTATGGATCATTTAATACCAAGATTTAATTTTCTTGTGAGCATTAGTAATTTCTTTTATAAAAATGTATTGCTGGTAATATTTTTTTTCGCCCCCTTACAAAAATGTATTGCTGGTAATATTTTTTTTTTTTTTCCCTTACAAAAATGTATTGCTGGTAATATTTTTTTTTTTTCCCTTACAAAATGTATTGCTGGTAATATTCCCCCCTTGCAAAAATGTATTGCTGGTAATATTCCCCCCCCTTACAAAAATGTATTGCTGGTAATATTTTTTTTTCCCCCCTCCTTAAAAATGTATTGCTGGTAATATTTCCCCCCACATCTTACAAAAATGTATTGCTGGTAATATTTTTTTTTCCTTACAATAATGTATTGCTGGTAAGATATTTTTTTTCCCCTTACAAAAATGTATTGCTGGTAAGATATTTTTTTTCCCTTACAAAAAATGTATTTGGTAGTATAAAAAATATTGCCCCCCCCCCCTTACAAAAATGTATTGCTGGTAATTTTTTTTTTTTTGCTTGCCCCTTACAAAATGTATTGCTGGTAATATATTTTTTCCCCCCTTACAAAAATGTATTGCTGGTAATATATTTTCCCCCCCCTTACAAAAATGTATTGCTGGTAATATATTTTTTTTCCTTACAAAAATGTTTTGCTGGTATAAATTTTTTACTATGAAAATGCATTGCTGACACCTTCACTATAAAAATGTATTTCTACATTTTCAAAGTGTTTTGATCCCAGTTTAAGGGTTCACTATTTGCCCATAGCTAGGACCCTAAGAGGTTCTACCACCCCAGGTCAGGCTGGACCTGGGAACAACAATTAAAAACCTCCCAATTAGAGGCTTTGCTGCCAGATGTAGTTTATCATCATATCCAGGATGAGAAGCAAGGGTTAATAAACTCAGAATGCAAACTAATTTGATACTGAACTGAGTTCAATCCTTATTGGGTAATCTATTACTGTGGATTTGTATTAGATTAATACAAACAACCTACTCAAGTACAGGTTTCTCCTCCTATCCAAAATGGCATTAAGTGAAAAAACAATTAACATTGATATTGGAATAATGTTTGAGCATTTCAAGACCCCTAAAATAATGTTCTATGCCTGCTTGCCTCAAGGGTAAAGGTCAAGATTCATTGTCGTCTGTGAAAAGCTTAAAATAGAGTATGCATAATTACTCTGCTTAATGTCTTTTTCTATTATCCAGTTCTTTGTAGACACTGAAAACATTCTGACAATCTGTCCAGAGCTGACATTTCTTTTCAAAATTAAAGGCAGTCATTGCAGCATTGACAATCAGATCAAAAATCATGGAAGGCTCAATTTTCTTTCTCTAATATAAATTAATCACTTTTAAACTTTACACCAATTCTGCTTACAAAAGAAATGCTCAAAGCTCAGATCATAGTGAAAATGGTCAGATTTAGAACCCAGATAAAAGCCAGGATTTCAATTGAATTTCATAGCAGACAGCTTACTACACACTTGGATGATGTTATTGCACTAATCTTTCTCACCCAATCACACCTTGTGCCATACGAAATGAGGGTCAAGAAAAAATTATTTAATTCAAGTGGTTGATTTATATTGCAGAACAAAATTTTTTTAAGTCAAAATTTTAATAGAGTTGAAAAAGTA